CAAGACAGGGTTTCTCTGTGTAGCTTTGCGCCTTTTCCTGGAATTCACTTGGTAGCCCAGGCTGGCCTCGAACTCACAGAGATCCGCCTGGCTCTGGCTCCCGAGTGCTGGGATTAAAGGTGTGCGCCACCACCACCCGGCCTGGAGATCTATCTTAATGCAAATGTTTCTTAGGGACACCATAGATCTCTTGCTCTATTTCCCTGCCATCATAATAGAGACCAGAAAGTGGGGGCCTGCTGGCAGGTCAAGATGAGCACCCTTACCAAGAACCAGTCAGGTGGGGCTTTGTTCTGAGACTTCATAGTCACTACAGTGGAGAAAGTCAAGTTTCTGTTGTTTAAGCTGTCTAGACTAGGAGACCAGAGATGGCTCAGTGGTTAAGAGCACTGGCTGCTCTCTCAAAGGACCTGGGTTTAATTCCTAGTAGTCACATGGTGGTTCACAAACATCTGTAACTCTAGCTCCAGGGGATCCAATACCCTGACTGTGGACACAATGTATGTACATGGTGCACAGACATACATGCAAGCAAAACATCCATGTACATAAAATAAACAATGAAAAAAACCCATCTAGGCTATATAAGACAAGCAAAACAAGACAACTGTAGGGGCTGGAGAGATGGTTCTGTAATTAAGAGCACTGCCTGCTTTTCCAGAGGATCCAGGTTCAGTTCCCAGCACCCACATGGCAGTTTACAACTGTAACTCCAATCCTAGTTGATCCAACACTGTCTTCTGGTCTCTGTGAGCACCAGGCAGGCATGCAAACTGTACAGGCATATATCCAGGTAAAATACTCACATACATAAAATAATTAAAGAAAGAAATATTCCCTCCTTGGGCCTGACTGGAAAAAAAAAAGACATGTATACTATAACATAATACTGTATTGCTGATATTATGTTAAAATGGGCTTTAAATCATTACAAAGGCAGGCCAGAATTGGATTTTTCATATTTTCATCAAAAAAGGGAAAATTTTAAAGGAAAAATGTTCCTAGTTGACAGTGTTTTGGTTCAAAGGGCACTCTAAAGTGTATTCAATGTAATGCCTCATCTCAATGAAGACAGGAAAGAAGACATGCCAATCCCTCCAATAGTAGCTTAGACAGAACGTGCTCAGTGTTACCTCCACAGTCATTTCCTTGGATTGTTCCTCTACGTGCTGAATGACTTCATAGCGAGTACATCTGTAATAACCACCAGTGGAAGAACTATGTTTCTTCCATTCTTCTAGGCAGATCCAGCAAAAGTCATACTTGCACTGTAAAAGAAAACACACATGCAGGTATCTCCATATATAATTAAAAAAATCACTCATTAAGTAGATCGTAATTAGAAGATAATGACAAAAGTATAATATTAAAGTTCATCTTCTTATGCTTATGGACTCTGTGTCAAAACTGTTCTGAGTCCATAGTCTTCAGATACTTTTATCAGGGCGTCTAGTACTCGTTTGCTTACTGTTTAAACATTTAAATCTTGGGTATATCTTCTCCAGTGTGAACTCAACTTTAGAGCTGTCTAGTTATCGCAATACCGTGTTCTAAGTACTTCATGTTTCTCCATTGGTTATATATTGCCATTACTACACATTAAATTCCTATGTATGAATCTGTTTCCTAGGCTTGTTTTCTAATCTGTTTCTTACTCTGTATTCACATGCCAGTACCACAGTGGTTCAACTACTGAGGGTGTACAACGTATTCTCTTACAAGGCTACTTCCCCCTGCTTTGTTTTTCAAAGTTTTCCTAATTAAGTTTGCTCTCATTTGCCATATGAACATCTGAATTTTAGTTTACATAGATGCAAAAGAACAAGCTGCTGGCATTTTTGTTTGCTTCTTTTTATGTAAGAGGTTGTATTTCTATTTGTTTGCCATTTTTTTTTTGTTTTAAATCCTTAAAGAGGATTTAAAAACATTTTCAACAAAGCCTAGAATATCTATTAAGCTCATTTCTAGATTCAAAAGGTCTATATATTCCATCTAGATGTTGCCAGGAGATATGGAGATGATTATTTTCTGCAAATTAATTTTGTATTTTGCTACTAAGATGAATTTTTGTTGCTGGTAGTAGTTCTTCAGTTGATCCTTGTAAAACTTCTAGTATGTAATCATGCCATTTGTAAATGTAGTAGCTTTGTTTTGTTTTTGAGACAGGGTCTTGCTACATAGCTCAGGCTAGCCTTGCATTCATGACCCTTCTGCCTCAGCATGTGAATGCTTGGACTACAGGTATGTGCCACTACACGCAGCTTTAAAGTACAGCCACTTTATTACTGTATTTCTAGGTTGTATAGTCTTATTTCTTGTTCCTGATTGCTGCTAGTCTCTGTATTAACTACTGTGGCTCTCTATATTCTCTCTTCCCCTTTTATTGCATATCTGAAATCCTTCAACTCCCTGCTAATTTATTATGTTAGCTTAGTGGTTTACTTTTGAAGTAGTTTGTTTGAAGTAGTTAGTTGTTCTTCAAAAACTACCTTTTGGATTTCTTGCCACACTGGTCATTACTTTTAAAAATTACTTTCTGTCTTAAAAAACTTCTTACTGGTGTTTCTTAATTTACTTTTTAAAAAAATCTGAACCACATCCTCAATTTATTGTTTATTTTATATTATTTTAAATGAGCAAGACTGTACATATTTCTGCATGGTTTTAGCTTTAACATTCAGGCTCTGATAATGTGGTATTATCATTTCCCATAAATTCTTTAATTTCTTCGAGTTATTTGAAATATTAAAAATTTCTATAAAATTTAACAACTCCATAATTAAGTTCTAATTTATTCTCTGTGATTAAGAATATTACTTGGTATAATTTTTAATTTTCTTTGATTATAATAATCATATTTTTTTTTTTTTTTTTTTTTTTTTGGTTTTTCGAGACAGGGTTTCTCTGTGTAGCTTTGCGCCTTTCCTGGGACTCACTTGGTAGCCCAGGCTGGCCTCGAACTCACAGAGATCCGCCTGGCTCTGCCTCCCGAGTGCTGGGATTAAAGGCGTGCGCCACCACCGCCCGGCTATAATAATCATATTTAAAATTATTGATTATAACAGCCAACACTTAAAGAGTATTACTGTTTTTCTTTAATGATCAATGGTCTATTAGGGAGGGTCATATTTTCAGGAAACACTCTGAATATACACATATATCCTATCTACTGTAGTAATTATGATAGGTCTTTATCACTTCTATATCTTCTCTTCTTTTGGTCTTCTTGTAGTCACGGAGAGTGACCTGAATTAAACTCTGCACTCATTTAGTACTTAATATGCACTTGTTCAATAAAGTGTCGATTTGTTTCAAGGCTCTATGCAGATTCCTTTCCTGGTTTATAAAACCAAACTTTGTGCCTGCTTTGATACAAATACCCTGTGATGTGGTTTAATTTATTTCTCAAAATTAGTGACAAAATTTTCATAAATCAACCAGACATTATCAACTATGGTAGAAAATAGTACAGTACAGAACTTTATTAATACTTTTACATGTTAAGGTTATTTTATGTAAATATGTATACTTGTACACCAGAAGAGGGTTATCAGATCCCATTATAGATGGCTGTGAGCCACCATGTGGTTGCTGGGAATTGAACTCAGGTCCTCTGGAAGAGCAGTCAGTGCTCTTAACCTCTGAGCCATCTCTCAAGCTCTTTTACATGTTAATACTTTTTATTTTTTGGGTTTTAAAATTAGTTTTCCATAGTGTCAGATTAAGTAATTTGAAAATTTAAGAATGAAAGATTCACATCCTGAGTGAGAAAACCCAGCCCCAGAAAGACAAACACGATATGTACTCATTTATAAGTGGATATTAGCTGTTAGGTAAAGGATAATTACAGTACAATCCATAGACCCATGGAGGCTAGGTAACAAGGAGGGCTCTAGGGGGAGACATATTGCTCTTCCTGGAAAAGGGAATAAAATGGCTTTTGCTGTTAGACTAGGGGCAGGTGGGGATGGGAAGAGGAGGGATCAAGTGAGAGGAGAGGGATGGAGGGAGAGCGTATGGGGAGAGACTACCAGAAATGGGGTTCAATATGGAAACCTAGTGCAGTGAAATCTACGAGGGTGACTCTATCAAGGACTCCTAGTAACCAGGCAAGGCTTCCAGTAGTGGGACTGGGACACCAACCCAGCCACAAAACCTTCAATCTAAAGCCGGGCAGTGGTGGTGCACGCCTTTAATCCCAGCACTCGGGAGGCAGAGGCAGGCGGATCTTTGTGAGTTTGAGGCCAGCCTGGTCTACAGAGCGAGATCCAGGAAAGGCGCAAAGCTACACAGAGAAACCCTGTCTCGGAAAAAACAAAACAAAAAACCTTCAACCTACAATCTGTCCTGGGGCAATAGTGGTTCAGTGGGAGTGGCCAACCAATGACTGGTCTAACCTGAGGCCCACGCTACGGAGGGAACCCATGCCTGACACTGTCTGGATGGCCAAGAACCGGAGGCTGGATAGCTCAGAGACCTAAGGTAGAATCCAATAGGACGGGCAAGTCAAAAACAAAAATGAAATGATTTCTAATGATATTCTACTATACTCATAGATTGGTGCCTAGCCAAATCATCATCAGAGAGGCTTCCTCAGGCAGCTGCTGAGAGCAGATGCAGAGACCCACAGCCAAACACTAGGAAGAGAGAGAGCCCAAACTAGAGATTTCCATCAAGTCCCTCCCCTCATAGCTTGGGGAACCCTGCAGAGTGGGCGGAAGGACTGTAGGAGCCAGAGGGATTCAGGACACCATGAGAACATGGCCCACAGAACCAACTAAGCAAGCCCTGCATGGGATCACAGAGACTGAATTGGAACCACGGAGCCTGCATGGGTCTCACTAGATCTTCTGCATACATGCTGTGGTTGTTTAGCTTGGGGTGTTTGTGAGACTCCTAACAATGGGAGTGGGGGTGTCTCTGACTCGTTTGCCTGCTCTTGGGACCCTTTTCCTCCCACTGGGTTGTTTCGTGCAGCCTTCATACGAGGGTTTGTGCCTAGTCTTACTGCAGCTTATTAGGCCATGTTTGGTTGGTATCACCAGGAAGCCTGCTCTTTTCTGGAAGAGCAGTGGATCTGGGTGAGAGGGGAGGTGAGGGGGCCTGGGAGGAGTGGAAGGAGGGAGGGTGCAGTAGGGATGTACTATAAGAGAGAATAGTAAATTTTAAGAAAGGTTTGTTTTATTTATTTAAATGTGTGTATGTGTCTGTGTTAGCATATGCACATGTATGTGTGCTTAGGCAAACGTGCCTGTACAGATGCAAGTTTCTGGGCAATCAAAGAAACCAGAAGATGTTGGATACCTTGGAGGTGGAATTACAGGCATTTGCAGGAAGCCTGGCTTATTACATGGTACTGGGATCTCGTTATTGCTCTGCAAACACTCTTAACTTCTGACCCATCTTTCTATCCTCCTAACATTGAATCTTTGGCCCTGAGAAGTGTTGGATAGTGGTAGGTGCCTAAGAGCAGCTGGCTAAGAGGACCCCTTGGCTACTAGACAGAGTCAGGGTGTTCCTATGGGTTTGTGATTCTCAGCTGAGAGCCTCCAGCTCTTTCCTCTCCCATGAGGGGTCAAAGGTCCCAGGCTTCCAGGGACTCAGAATTCCAAGCAGGGACAATAGGAGGAGCCTGGAGTTGAAGGAGGATGCTCAGTGGATCTAGAGAAGATCCCTTAGCCACAGGGTCTCTTGAACTCCACAGTCAAACCATGGAGGAGCTAGAGAAAAGGGATGGGGTAGGGTGGGTGGGGTTGATACAGTATTCTAATTAAAAACACAAAACAAATTAAAATTTTTCTAAGGGGAAATGAAAAAAGTATTTTTGAAATAAATTAGTTTATTTTCAGATGAGTAAACATGCCATTTTTTTTAAAAAAAATGTTTAACACATTAGATTTCAGACAATGCAAAGTGTCTATTAAATCATAATCAACACTGAAGCATCAAAAGCCTAGGCAGATGGTAAAATTGTTTGTGTTACAGCATGGATTCAACTTTTTATGACATGTTTTATTTGCATATTTGAAAAATACTCTAAGTGGATTCAATTGTGTGCACTGAATCTAGGTAAGTTTTCTTTGTCAAGATAAGAATATACCACTTTTTAGGTTCTTTCTTTCTTTTTAGGAGATGAGGTTTTACTGTGTAACTCTAACTGGTCTAGAGCTTGCTATGTAGACCAGGCTGGTCTCAAAGATTTACCTGCCTTTGCCTACAGAGTACTGGGATTAAAGCTTTGTATTACCATGGCCAACTCAGTTTATATCTTCAATGTGAACAATTCAAAAAGTATACTAAATAAGGTTCTTACATTTATAGATCTTGTATATAAATGTTTTAAATCCCAGACAATCTCAAGCAACATCTGTTTGTATTAGTTCCTTTGTATCATCAGTCTGATTAGTTTATGAAAATGTTCTTCCAGTAATCCATATTTATCAAGTCCTCACTGCTATGCTACAAAGGACAGAAAGGTAATCCTGGAGTCTGTCTACCTCAACAGCCAATTGCTGATTTTTTAGGTCAATATATACTTCTGTGCACATTTAGGAAGTCTATATTACATTTTCTAAGAACAAAACCAAATAAATATGGAGTTGGAGATGAGACCACAGTTAGAGAAAATAATTTTGTCTAGTTTGACCACAGTTAGAGAAAACAATTTTGTCCAGTTCTTAGCTGAACGAGTAAGTATTTTTGAGTAATTTTCTCAGAAAACAACAGCAGGCTTTTTTCCTTCTGCCTCTTAGGGAATCACTGCTGCCTCAAAAAGTACATTTCTTTACATTAATTTTACTATAGTGCAAACTTGTAAGATAAATTTTGTAATTTCTATTCTTTTGCAAGTTGTAATACAATGATAATTGGTTTACAGACCAAAAAAAATCAAGTAATTCTTAGAGCAATGTTAACATATTTTATTAGTTTTAACTATTTTAATTTCTTTCACATTCTAAATGAGAAAAAATTACATTGTCTTAATATTTTAAAACATCACTTAAAAACACAGTTGGTCCTTCTATTAAAGGGAAAAAAAAATGAAGACTATTTATTATAATTTTAAAACAAAACATTGAAACAGAGGCATGAGTTAATAAAATATTAACCTAATTCCAAGATTACAAAAACACAACAAAACAACTCAGGAAGCTTCTTTTTCTACAATGAAATCAGAAGAGCACAGACGTCCTTTCAATCCCCTAAAAGTTTCAGTCAAGTTGATCTCTGCAGGCATTTTAATTTTCAACTTAGTAATGAACTGAATTATTTATTTAGTTGATGGTTTTAGTAGCAGAATACCATCTTGTTTTGTAGTACTAACTAAATTAAGACTAACCAAAAAGCATGGAAACACATGTTAGCATCTTACCTTGGCACACTGCATATGATTGCAGCCTTCATTCTTCTGTATTGGAGACTTACAGTTTGCACAAGGTTTGGAGTTAGTTAACAACCACAGACAATTGGCAGCATCCTCATAGGCTTCACTGACTCCAACGACTTTGAGGTATTGGGCACAAACATAGAAATATATGATTAAGCATACGACTCCAGGTGGGAGGGAACTAGACTTTTCTTTGCAGGGTGTCTCTCCGCGGTAATACCGCATTTCTTTTTCCTAATAGTGTCTATGGGAAAGCTTTTACAACTGCTTCATTTTCAATAGTATAAGGACTTCTGTTCCAAAATTATTCTTAGAAAATCTATTTGAAAGGAGATTTCTCTGTAAATCTACACAAATAAACTGGGGAAGAACCAAAGTTTAAAAAAAGAGTATGTGCTTTGTTTAAATTAACTATTATAGCCAAGAAAATTATAGAAAGAATGACTATGTTAGACCAAAAGGCTCTCAACCTGGAGGTCAAAGAACCCTTTCACAGGGGTCACTTAAGACTGCCAGAAAATGGGTTAAATTATAAGAGTTAGCTAGCAAGAAGCCTGACCCATAGGCCATATAGTTGGTAATTAACATAAGCCTCCGAATGATTATTTTATAAGTGGCTGTTGAACACAGGTAGGAGAGATTCATCTAGACCATGGGGCCTGGCAGGACTAGAGAAACTTTGGTTACATTTGGCTGTCCAATGTGTTGGCTCAAGTTTTCACCTAAAACCTGAGAGAACTTAATAAGAGATTCTAAAACAGAGCCAAAAACAGCTTCCTACACTACGTTTCATGTGGACCAAGAGATGCCGCAGCATTCGGGCTTGAGCACAGCATGGCGGATTCTCGCCTAGGTACACCTAGGTGTCTCCAAGCTGCACAGCATGCTTGTTGGTGGGCTAAGTGTGACTCTCCTGGGTGCCTCCACCATGCTGAGAAGCTGAAATGGGCAGAGTCGGCAGCCAGGGCTGCCACTTCAATTTTAGCCACGCTGCAGTTTGCAATGATCAGAAAAGGATTATAGATACACAAAAGACAGATTCAGATAGGATAAACCTCTAAATGGTTTACATTATGTGTAAAAATGTACATAGGCTTGGAAGAGAGAGGATAAGAAGGATAGACAGTTATATAAAGAATTAGATAATTAAAAAAATAAAGTCTTTAAAGAGACAATAAAATTAATATAAAAAATAAGCCACATAAAGATGGAAATCACACAGAGAGTCTGGATTATATTGTCTTTGGGATTTTTAACTGCAGAAAGACACTAGATTGTAAAGGTTGCTCAGTTAATTCAATATGTGTATTTTAAAGGTATCTTGACTTCAAAATTTGTGTCTAAAGATACACTACTTTGGAAAAGAGGTTCTGCTTTTGTTTCCACAGAAGATGAGAACCTGTGGATTGCTTCCAGGCTAATATGATTTGATCAACCAAGACCCCCTGAAAGGTCGATACAGCCTCACAGATTACTACAGCCAAGATTTAACTATAATTCTTAATTTTCTCAGGATCCCCATAAGATTGCCAGTGCCCCCAACCAGAAGGAAGTAGTATGAGAAGCTACACCCAAATTCCCAAAATATTGTTTAAAAATGTTTATTTTTATTTAAAAGGGGTTGATTATAAATGCAATCTCTTTCTAAAGAAAAAGAAAAGAGGATATTACAGATATGATAGGATGAAAGATTATTGAATCTACTTTTAAAGAGCAACTTGTTTAAAATGTTTTACATTGATATAGATTTTAGTGTATTACAAATTTAAAGTTAATTTTGCTATACTGTATGTATATTTCTCCTGTTTAAGGTATTATGTTTGTATAGCTCATTTCAAATTATAATATATAATTAAGACATATAGATTAATAGTCATCTATGATAATCAAACTTACAGTCATGTTAGTTAAGTTTTCCTGGTATACATAGATATATTTCAGTTAGGTAGGTAATCTTCAAATACTTCAAAACCTAGAGAATACGGCATTTAAAATATTTAAAACCTTAGACTTGACAGACAGTGAGATACATCTGCTCCTGGCAGCCAATTTACTTCAAAGAAGATGATGGGCATTGAAGATACTCCACATGGAGTTTTCTTTCCTTATGGCAAAAGTTAGCCACTTGGGCAAGAAACTCTTCTTGCCTGGACTGCTTGCTTGACAAAATGTTGTATTGATTGGACATACAGGACCCATGGAAAAAAGACCACAAAATTTTGCCAAAACAAAGCAAGATGGACCCATGGAAAAAAGACAAAATTTTGCCAAAACAAAGCAAGATGGTCCTTCATGTTCCTGCTTCACAGAGGAGACTGCCAGATATTCTACAGGACACAGGGAGAAGCGACTAAAAAACTCTAGACTTAAAGGCTGAAGATGGATGCCCCAACATTGCAGAGGAAATCTGGGTGACTGTCCAGGCAGCCAGATGTCTCTGTCATTTCTACAATTATGGAAGTTGCTTGCAATGCACTTCCTGTTTTCTTAGGTGATATTATATCCTTCTGGGGTCTTTGATGTAGTTGTAATTATAATTTTCCTTGGTTATAATAAAGGATAAATTAGATGTGAAACTTTAGACTCACAGATAAATATAGGATAGATGATAAAACATTTTCTTTAATTTTGCCAAATACAAATAGACTAGATGTAATTCTTGCTTGATAACTGTTCTATTATATGTAATTTTACTATGTTAAAGTTAAAAGCTTCCTTTTTGAATAGATAGAAAAGGGGAAGTGCTGTGGGATGGTCTGTATGTCAAATTGCTGATTGGTCAATAAATAAAACACTGATTGGTCAGTGGCTAGGCAGGAAGTATAGGTGGGACTAACAGAGAGAAGAAAAGAAAGAACAGGAAGGTGGAAGGAGTCACTGTCAGCCGCCACCATGACAAGAAGCATGTGAAGACACCGGTAAGCCACGAGCCACGTGGCAAGGTATAGATTTATGGATTAATTTAAGCTACAAGAACAGTTAGCAAGAAGCCTGCCACGGCCATATAGTCTGTAAGCAATATAAGTCTCTGTGTTTACTTGGTTGGGTCTGAGCGGCTGTGGGACTGGCGGGTAACAAAGATTTGTCCTGACTGTGGGCAAGGCAGGAAAACTCTAGCTACAGGGAAGTGCTGTGGGATGTCTTTCTGTATGCTGTGAATATGTGTTGCTCTGACTGGTTGACAAACAAAGCTGCACTGGCCTATGACAGGGCAGGATAAGGTTAGGTGGTACACTCAAACTAAAGACAAGATGAAGGGTGGAGTTGAAGAAGATGCCAACCTGCCACCCAAGGAGCAACAAGATACCAGCAGACCAGTAATGCCACAGCCTCGTGGCAACATGAGAGATTAATAGAAATGGGTTGAGTTAAGTTGTAAGAGCTAGCTAGCAAGAAGCCTGATCCAGTTCATTAGCTTGATCTGTTTGGGAGGCATCCAGGCAGTGGGGACCAGGTCCTGTCCTCAGTGCATGAGCTGGCTGTTTAGAACCTGGGGCTTATACAGGGACACTTGGCTCAGCCTTGGAGGAGGGCACTGGACCTGCCTGGACTGAATCTACCAAGTTGAACTCAATCCTCAGGGGAGTCTTTGCCATGGAGAAGATGGGGATGGGTGGTGGGCTGGGGGAAAGGCGGGGGGACGGGGGACGGGAGGGGGAATCCGTGGCTGATATGTAAACTTAAATTAAATTATAAAATAAAAAGCCTGATCCATAGGCCATATAGTTGGTAATTAATATAAGCCTCTGAATGATGTGGACCGCGGATAGGAGAGATTGGTGCAGACCATGGGGCTGGGCAGGACTGGAGAAACTTCTGGCTACACATATTTCTGATGGTCTTAGAAACTTAGACTCTGCTCCTCTATCCATCTCCAGGCAGGTCTGCCCATGTGCAGATACGCCAACATGTGAGTAACCAGAACTGTATTAAAGGGTCACAGCATTCCAAAGGCTGAGAAACACTCACTGTGTTATACTATAATTTATTTAGACTTTAATTCTTTTAGGTTTTTATTTTGTTCTATGTGTATAACTGTTTTGTCTCCATGTATGTATGTGCATCAAATGAATACTTGGTGCCTGCAGATGTCAGAAGAGAGTGCTGGATCCCTTCGAACTGGAGTTGTGGATGGTTGTGAGCTACCTTGTAGGTCTGGGAACCAAATTCAGAGTCTCTGGAAGAGCAACAAGTGTCCCTAAACACCGAGCAATCTCTCCAGCCCCTGAACTATACTTTCTTAAAACAGGCTAGTTGCAAACAAAATTGTCAGGAATTTTTCCGAGTAGAAAGCATTAAACACCAACATCTGCTTTGTGAGACAGCGCTTGCTATGCATAGTCCAGGCCACCTACAAATTCAGAATCTGCCCTCAGCCTTCAGAGTGCTGCAATCACAGAAGAGCACATTTTTTCCTTTCCTTTTTAAAGAAAAAAAATCTTTAATTACTTCCAATAAACAGATTCAATGGGATATGCCTAAAACTAAACACCATCTCTATAGATCCATTTCTTTTATTTACCCATGTCTGTAAGTCATCTAGAGGGCTCAGACTCAGTCTACTGGGTGGACTGTCTTCAACACCCTCTGGCTAGGGCACTCACAGCACATCACTGACTCCACTCCTGACCCTTCCACTTCCTTTCCATCCTCAGTTTTGGGTGTTTTAGCTAGGGTCCTCTACATCTCTTGCCTAGACAACAGAAACACAGGAAACCAAGGCATCTTTCCAGTTCCCTCTCCCTCCCACTTCCAACGATACTGCCTACACAGTGATCCTTTAAAAACAAAATTCTGCCTACAATCTTTCATTTGCTTCCCCTTGACAAAGGGCTACAAGATAAAATCAAATCAATTTAGTAAGCAGGGTGAAGTTCTTCATGACTTGACCCATTCACTTGGCAAGTGTCGCCTGTGGATTAGAGATATGTGGCTCTGTGGGGAAGTGCTTGCCCCATACCAACTTGATCAATTGTCTTCTTTAATTCAATTTACTCTGCTATAATTTGAGATCTGTAATCTTAAGGAATGCCACAATTTTTACCTTCCCTCTAGGAATTTAAAAAGTAAAACAAAATTAAAGTTTTGTTTTTTTCTGTAAGAATGGCAGCAATCT